TGACCGTGAGGTAAAATAAAATAGCTCAAATCTGAATAGGCTATTCATATAAGGCAGGGGTCAGCAACCTACAGCCAGCGGGCCAAGTGCAGCCTGCGGAGGCCTTAGGACAAGCCCGTGGCCGGTCCTGTCACTGCCACCACCACCACCACCCCACGCGTGAGCACAGGCACCATTTTTGAGTCCAGATGTCGCCCATGCTTGTGCACGCATGCGCACGGCGGCGGGAGACATTTTGGAATGCCCAACATGGCGGCATCATGAACATGACACATGACGCCAGCACGTTGGGTATTCCAAAATGGCTCCCGCCGCCATGCGCATGCGTGTGCAAGCACAGGTGCAATTTTGGATGAAAAAATAGTGCCCACGCTCGCTTGCGCATGTGCCTGCAAGTGCGGGTGCCATTTTGGAAGGCCTCACGGTGGCTGTGCCGTGCGAATTAGCATGGCACAGCCACCATGGGGCCTTCCCTGGGCCTTGGGAACATTCCCCTATGCATACTCCAAGTGAATTCACCGGGTGCATGGGTGGGGGGACTTTCCCAAGGCCCAGGGAAGGCCCCCACACCCGTGCACTGGGCGAATTCACATGACGCACATGCGAGGGTGTTCCCAAAGCCCAGGGAAGTCCCCCCCACCTGTGTGCCGGGTGAATTCTCATGGTGCATGTCCAGTGGGGCGTTCCAAAATAGTGCTCCCCATGTGCACACACATGTGCACGAGGGAGGGCGTCATGCACATGCGCACACGGGAGGAGCATGCAAGTGCGTGTGTGCCCACCCAGCCCCTGTGCCATTCTCCCCCTGGCCCCTTGGCAAAAAAGGTTGCTGACCCCTGATATAAGGAAACATTATATAATCCTATAACTTTTGCTTATTTTATTTTATAATTCTTTAATAATGCAGTATTTTTAGAAGAAGCATCTCCTGAAGACTGGAGGAAAGTGATACCATCACAATTCCACTCAAATAAAAATAATACATCCTTCTCTTCCTATACCAAAAAATTAAACCTTCAGGGGTTCTCCATCTATATGGGATCCCTTCTTGTCTCAAAAAGGCCGTTAAGAAAAGGTAATCCTTCCGTTTTCTAAGCAATCTAGCAGGTATGTCCTTTAAAATTTGCAATTGTTGACCATCTATTTCTAACGGGGATCCATTGTGGACTTTAAGAAGCAGATCCCGTGTCTGCCTCCTAACAAAATACACTATGATGTCTCTAGCTAATCCCCTTTGTTTTGCTACTGTTGAAGTGTCAGAAGGTCCTATCAATCTCGAAATGAAAATGAGAGGGGTCTTTTCCCAAAAATTTTGCCAAATGTGATACCATCAATTCCATCAAGTTTTCATTTTTATCTTCTGGCAGTCCCCTGATTTTAACACATTTAGGAAGAGAAGGATAGTTTTGGGATCTGTAGAAGAAGCAAGGAAATTCTGGGATTGGGAAGAAAGTAGAAGAGAAGCCAGAAAAGATCCAAAAGACCCAAAAGAGAAGGATTTAGAAAAA